GACTTTATACCCATGGGAGGGTGTTCTGGTGCCAACAGTGGTGGACTAAGTTAGGTAATTCCTAGTTTCCATGCTCCTGGATGGCATGTTTTGAGTCCTAGGGGTACCAGACTTGAGACCAAGCTGGCAAACTTGCTTTCAAGCCTTCCTGGGTTCAATATTGGCTGTGACAGTGAGAGATGGGATGCTCTACTACTCCAGAAGAATGCTCAGGCAGGGGAAAGGTAGATGCACACAGGTCAGCCTGTGACAGGAGGGATAGGCCCCTCTTGACAAGATTAGCAAGGCTGCTATCGGACACACAAGCTATTCATGCCTCCCTCTCCTGGCAAAGATAGTGTCCCTGTCCTTTGGAGGCACAAAGGAGCCCAGATTCCCAGTTCTTGTGCTGGCCCAGCTTCAGCAAAGGTCAGCTGTGTGCAAGGCTACCAGACTGGCTGGGGACTGTGGCTGAAATGCTCCAGTGCAGTGAGTCAGGTGTGGTTTTGTCAAGGACTTGCCTCCAGGGAGGGTAGACTCCGCCCAGAAAGCCCGTCTTCTCTAGGAGAAGACTGCTCAGCCCTCCCCTCCCTTAAAAGAGGTGGTAACTTTTGTGTTTGGGGCACACAAAAGTGTTTGCTGCTCATCTTTTTAGAGGGAAGGGAATGAGCCTTGCCTAGTATGGCACTCTGTTAGAGGGGGACAGCCACTTTCAAGTGCCCTGGCTTAATCATCCTTTGTGGGACCCTTGCCAGTCCCACAAAATTTACAATATTAAAACAGTTTATCGGCTCGGTGAATTTCATGAATTGTCTGCTTATCTGAATATTATTAACTCTTCCAGTGGGGGCTTCCTTTATCCCCTACTGGACTGTAAATTCCTCTAGAACAATGATTGTCTTTCTTTAGTCCCATGTAATTATGGCCCCTGGCACGTATTAAGCAGTCAATAATATTTATTAACTCTCATTTCAACATTCACAGTTGAAAATATCCCCACACAGTAACAAAAATTTCCCTCTGCTTTCAAAAGTCTAATACCCACCGTCTGATTCAAGCTCCATCAGGGATGAAATGGTTAGTTTTCAACCTGACATCTTCAAGTAATAGTTAATATTTCAAAAAGCTCAAGGCAGGCTCGGCACCTATAGCTCAACCGGCTAAGGCGCCAGCCACATACACCTAAGGTGGCGGGTTCAAATCCCCAGCCCGGACCCGCCAAACAACAATGACGGCTGCAACCAAAAAAATAGCCGGGTGTTGTGGCGGGCACCTGTGGTCCCAGCTACTTGGGAGGCAGAGGCAGGAGACTCGCTTGAGCCCAGGAGTTGGAGGTTGCTGTGAGCTGTAATGCCACGGCACTCTACCCAGGGGGACAGCTTGAGGCTCTGTCAAAAAAAAAAAAAAAGCTCAAGGCAAATAATTTATTTTCCCACAAAAGGGATAAGAAGACTAATGAGAATGTTATTTGTTTTGCCTGGAATTTTCATACCTAGGTCTGGTTATGTCATGCCAATAAATGCATTTTGAACAGCAAAAAGTAAGGAGCTGATTATGTTTCCTAATAAATGCAGTTTAGTGAATATAATTTAAAAAATACACAAGATATAGGGGAATATAAAGAGGGTTCTGTGCTTAAAAAGTTGGAAACCACTACATTAAATTACCTTCACTTTAAGTATCCTGCTTATCCTTATAAACATCAACTGTCACTGTAAACACAGGTAAAGGAATTAGAGATATGCTTTTTGTTATAAATTCCCTATTTCTTTCTTTCTTTCTTTTTTTTTTTTTTGAGACAGAGCCTCAAGCTGTCACCCTGGGTAGAGTGCCATCATAGCTCATAGCAACCTCCAACTCCTGGGCTCAGGCGAGTCTCCTGCCTCTGCCTCTCAAGTAGCTGGGACCACAGGCGCCCGCCATAATGCCCGGCTATTTTTTTGGTTGCAGCCATCATTGTTGTTTGGCGGGTCTGGGCTGGATTCGAACCCGCCACCTTGGGTGTACATGGCTGGCGCCTTAGCCGCTTGAGCCACAGGCACCAAGCCTTTTCTTGATTTTTTGATGCCCATAGATGAGGCCACCATCATTCCTTGCTTTTACTATCACCACAGCCTCCTAACATGCCTTCCTGCTTCCAGCCTTTCCCTTCTAAGGCCGCTTTAATGATCATTAGAACAAATATGATAGTGCCTCTCTGTAAACTATCACAGTGGTCTCCTAAGAACTCCAGCCTGAAGTCAAAAGTCCTCAATGTGACATATGTATTCTGATCTGGCCCCATTTATCCACCTATTTCATAAATATTTATGGAGCTTTTAATATGTGTCAGACACTGAGTGGTACAAAGTAGAGCCTGAACCCAAAGCAGCCAGTCTTAGCGCTACAGTCGTGGGTCTCCCAATTCTGCCACATTCAGGCCTCACGTGTCTGGTTGCCTTTCCTGATAGGAACCAAGCACTCCCTTGGGCTACGGCCATCACAGTACAGGAACTGTAACGTACTTGTCACTCACCCTCACTAGATTGACCTCTTCCTGGATGGGAATTGGTCTTCCTCATTTTGGCTGGCTCAGTGACTCCAGAGAGAAGTCGGAGCCTCGGGTACCAGCCTAGATCGCAGCTCACATGGGCCTAAGTGTTCCCTCGTGGGTCTAGGAAAACAGGACTTGACTTGGTGGCTATTCCCAGGAAGTGGGAGGCAGCCTAGACCTGGGCGGGACATCCTGGCACGCTCATTCCCAAGGGCACCTCGGTGACTAGGTGGGGTAGGGACACATTGGGTGCGACAACTGAGGTAGCCCTGAATCAGGGAAAGACTGAGGGCAGCGGAGAGAGTGGCCCCTGCAGTGGCTGTGCAAATGGAGGTCAGCACCTGGGACCACCTATCTGGCTCGCCACTAAGTGCCTAGTCCAGCCTGGCCTGGTCCCTGTGCCTTGCACCATCCTAGCCCTGCAGCTTTGAAGCCCTCGGGCACTGTTCAACCCCCACCCCACAACCTCAGTGCCCACAGACACTGCAGGGTACTGTCCCCTGGGGGCTGGAGCGCCAGTCCACGCATAAAGCCATATCTTTGAGCACTGAGTGCAGGAGCGTGAAGGAGATTGGACCTTGCTGGGTAAGGAGTTCCTGCCATGATTCAAAAGCTATTCATGGGGACCTTCCGACCTTCACAAAACGAAATTTTCCCTGGATTGGATGAGTAGTCAGGGTGGTGGCTTCTGGAGCAGGCATCACAGACAAATAAATCCCTCAGGGAAACAGAACTGTCTCTGTTCCCTGTTCTGAAATAACTCAATAAAAAGAGAGGCTTACTAGCCAGTTCCTTCTAAAGCCTCCATCACTCACCTTCCCATCCTGATACCTTGCTGGCTCCTTCCAGAATTTTTAGCTTTACCTTTTGAACATGGGATCCTTCTGAAGCCTCTTCTTGCCCCATGACCCCACCCAGTTCTCTGTGTTAGCTCAGGCTGCCATAGCAAAATGCCACAGACTAGGTGACAAACAAAAGACATTTATTTTCTCAACAGTTTTGAAGGTTGAAATGTGCCCCGGTCACCTTCTTGCTGGGTCCTCACATGGTAGTGAGAGACCCTAACTCTTGGATGTGTCTTCTGATAGAGCACTATCATGAGAGCCTTGCCCTTATGACCTCATCTAAACTAATTATCTCCCAAGGCTTCATCTTCAATTAGCATCATATTGAGAACTAGGGCTTCAATCTATGAATTCTGGAGTCACACAGTTCATTCAGTACATAATGTTCCTCTTCTTTTTCATTTTCTTTTTTTTTGGCCAGGGCTGGGTTTGAACCCGTCACCTCCAGCATATGGAGTGGGCGCCCTACTCCTTTGAGCCACAGGCACTGCCCCATTTTAATTTTTAAAGACTTTATTTTTTAGAACAGTTTTAGGTTCACAGCAAAAGTGAGAGGAAAAGTACAGAGATTTCCCAGATACCCCTGGCCACACATGCATAGCCTTCCACATTATAACTTTGCCTTCCAGAGTGTTGTGTTACAGCTGATGAGCCTGACCGCATATTGTAATCACCCGAAGTCCAGAGTTTACATTAGGTAGGCTTGAACACGCTCCATTAATAAAGGAGATAATGAAGGCTATACATTTCCAAGGATGGCTGTTGCTAAAGTCTCATATTTTAGCATGAAGTGTTCTTTCCGTTCACTTTCTAGGTAGTTTGGTTTTGCTTTTCATTTTTTTCTTTCAATCCACATGCCCCCTCCCTTTTTTCTTTTTTTACAACATCGTTACTCATCCCACACACCGGCTTCCTTCTTATTTTTACTGGTTTGCTACAATAATAATGCATTCTGTTTTTTCCCGTATTAATTTGGATGCTCTACTGTATTTTTCTATTCTCATAAGGGTTACCTTGCCTTTCCTCAAGATCATAATCGGATGCTTATTTCCCTATCGTCACTGGAAAACATGATAGCAATAATTCCATCCCAATAAAATGAAACTGTAGGTTTCTTTTTTCTCTTCCCCTCACCCTGTACTCCAGGAATTACTTTTTGTTTACCAATGGAGAAAGGTAGGCTGGTGGTTGGGGGATATTTTCTCCTTGAGGGGAAAGTCGTCTTCGGCTGTGACCCTTTGATAAGGTCTGATAAGCGGTAACCTGGAAAATAGAACATAAAGGAGGAAGCGTAACAGGCCATGCACAAGGGTAGAAGTTCCCTGACATTTCTGTCATCCAGCACGGCCCCTTAAGGTACAATTCTACAGAGGAGTGAGGCCGGCCAGACATAGCTAAGTAACCCGCTAGCGCCAGCCCCGCCTCCACCTGCTCAAGGACGTCAATTCCCAGAGGCCAGGCTGACCGAAACGCAGCCGTACCAGGGGCGCACTGGCTTGTGACAGCTCCACGCGTTAGGCGGAGTCAGCGAGCGGAAGCCGGAGACGCGGCGGCCTCTGGAGCCAAGTCTGAAGCTACTGGGCCTAGAGACTGAGGCTGCGGTCTGCGCAGGCGCAAGCCCGCGGGGCTGGGAAGCTGTTGCAGTACGCCGCGGTGCCCCAGGGAAGCCCGCGGTCGGTGAGGTGAGACTTGCGGGCGGCTGCTCCGAGGTGCAGCTCCAAGCCTGTTCTGCTTTTGCCGGTGGCGGCAGGCAGCGGAGTCCTGCGGTGAGGAAACGTCGGAGGGAGCGCTGCGGGTTTGTGTGGACGGGGGTTTGAGTCCGCGCTGTACTTGCTCTCCACTGCCTGCGTCATGTCCTGTGCAGGGCCGGGGACCTCGCTAGCCCTCAGCTCTTTTCTTGAGACCCTCGCTGGAGGAGTGAGGCGTGTTGGTGGAGAGTTGTAACTAGCCTGGACCACAGTCCCCTCCCCCCGGCTTTTAGTTTCAGGTGGGCACCTGCCCGGGGCCCGGGTAGGAGTTCATCAGGGGACTGGCGGCGCCAGGGCATCACCCAGAAGACAAGGGCTCTGCGTTTGTCTTCGTGCCTCCTTTGTCCTCGGCCGGCGGTCCACGTTCGCGCTCCTCTAATGGGCTCTGGGTGCGTCCCACCTCCTTCCCTGTTACATTTCCCTGATGCTAGACACTGAACCAAGTCTTCTTGCTCATAGTAGCACCATAATGAGGCCCTGCTACAAATCCTGGGCGTTTGAGTAAGATCCGGCCCCTCAGAAGGAGTTTGCATTTTTCTTTTGCTGCCTCCACCACTACAGAAATTTGAAAAAGTTTGGAAGGGCCATCTAAGAGGAAGCTGCCCC